AATCCATAGTCGCGAGTTGCAACGTACAGTTAGCCAACCACGTCAAGTCTGAACACTTCCGGCTCTGTGTACTCGGGTACATGGTTCCCAACCCTGCTGCGATTGTATGTGTCAACTAATGCGACTTCTGACGGCGGTTAGACGAGTACGAAAAATTGCTGAGTGTTCGCCGAGCACTGGAGATTGCGGGTTCGATTCCCGGCTTTGTATTGGACGGCGTTACTGCACAGGATCCGTATATACTCGGACGGCGAGTTAAGCTATCTTTCCTAAATCCCAAAGATCTACCATCTACGAGGCATTCCGACAATCGGGAAACTGTAAGAATTCTGCGATCGACTGGCATGGGACATGGTCCAAGGTATCTCCTAATAACGGACAGAGAAATGGCTAATCTGCACAGTGACCTCGCGTAACTTTGCAATCACTCACCAACTACAGATACAGGGTATGTCCCGACATACTTCGACGTGGTAAGTCCACCGAATATGTTGCGGAGATACCTGCAGGGTTTGGTCCAGATTGTTCTGGTCTCGTGTCTGTAATTGAAGGGGCCGCTCCCGTCATGAGTGTGGAGATCGATCCAATGGCGAAAATATATGCTTCACCTTTTCGGTTAAAGCCGTCAGGGCTGCTGACCCTCACCAGCCGGGCCTTCCCCGACCTCTGCCTGGTCCACCCTGCGTGTTAGAATCCGAGTACATATATCTGAGAAACAGCGTGCTACCAGTTGTTCGTAAACACGACATGTAGTCCATTTCATCTGTAGGCCCTTCCACATGTCGTGGGCGATCGTGCCGTCTTGTCCACGCATCATAGTTGCGCGCTTCTGTCAATGTTCGTGAGTCATTTTTCCATTCCATTCGAGGGCCCATGATATCGGTAGATTTCTCGTTAACCCCATCCTTGAACACAGATTTACTGTTCGAGGCCCCGTCTTGGACCGACGCCGCCCCCCACTCGGGTTTTAAGACATCATTGGATTCGAACGGCCTTGTCGGCAGCTTACTATCTTAGGGAGCAAGAAACAGACCCGAATCTGAGGGTACGGAGCAAGACTACATTTAACCGCATCATGGCGCCCCTTCATCCATGGATGGCTTCCCCATCTTTCTTTCTCCTTCACCGACCCACGGACAGCCGGTTCTTGATGATCATCCCGATCGACTTCCGCCATCCGAATCACTCGCATTGCGACAACAGCGCCCTCGGGAGCATCTCCTCCATCATCACAGAGATCACCACATACCTCACAGGTCACCACAGCAGCGACCAGGGTTCTTCAGGACGGCCTCGATTAGTGTCATACCCCCTTTCACATCTCTGTACACTAAGGCCAGATCCCTTTCAGTCCCTCAT